TAAGAAAAGGCAGAAGGCAGAAACAGCAGTACAGACAGGATCTAGAGTATGGGTAAATCCATAAGAATAGGCAAAAAAGGGCAAAACCCTCTAGACATCTTACTGACTTAACAGGAAAAAGCTACAATATGCGTGTAACAGACGACTCGAATAGACTAGGGTTTAGGGTTTAAGAAAAAGCAGAAGACAGTACAGACAGGATCTACAGTACCTGAAAGCCCAAAAGGTGGGAGAAAGGGTGTTCAAAGGATAAAACACCATAGAGCTCGAGAGGTGGTCAAGTTCTTTCGAAATTCCTTGGGTAGAGAGGGTAGAAATAATTGTTTAAGCAAACTCTTAGATTACAGCCCCCAACACCAGCTCTAGCGTTTAGTTTTATCCGAATAGAGCTCACCTGACATCAGCTAAGGGATAGGCAGCTCGGAGGAACAGTGGGTAGTAGATATAGGCTAACTTAGGCAGGGGTGAGGGGTGGTACATCCTTCCCTATGGAAGTAATCAATGCCGTCCACTCGGGCCTCTCAGCCATAATGGGGAGGAGTGTGGGCGTGTTTTCTCTGTATTCATATCTGACTTGCCGGGGGAATAGAAACCGGACTGTTGCTCCCCAGAATGGCAGGAGCCAGAACCGAGAGGTTCTGTCATTTCCCAAAAAAAAAAAAAAAAAAAAAAAAAAAAAAGAAGGTGGGAACCACCAGAAATGACTCAATGAGTCAATATCAATGGCGAGTTCGCATGATGATCGCGTACTCAGGCTATCTCTACCTTATATGTATCTGACCACAGTTACGGCCAGACCTGTATGTATCGGACCGCAATTTCGCCCATAGATAATTGAAAAAGTCCTAGTGTGAGTATGCCCTGAGAATGTCATTATGCAGGTTGTAGTTTCACATCGACCATGTGACAATTTGACATGTTTTTATTCTACACAAAGATTAGTTATATCCCCTCATGGACCTGAGTATTTACTTAGTGGATATGTGATATCTTCATCATAGACATATCATAGGATACTAGTCTAGACTATTCTAGACTCTACATTGTCTACAAATCATACATAAATGGATGTAATGTCTGATACTATGACGTCGCCATTTGCTTTTGGGTGAGACAGGTATAGGAGAGTTGGGAGCATGCTGATGCTTTAGATTCAAGGCCAAATGTACGAGGAGTCTGAAAACATTGTTAGAACGGTTGTGCTTTCGACACGTGTCCTGGCTGACTGCGTGCAGAGCGTGCAGAATTAGCAAAGATCAAACAGGGACAAGACTCAATCTCACACAGACTCGTCTGTTTCAGGCTGATCCGGTTGGTTAGTAAGTGATTACCCACACTGACATCAGTCCGGAGCATGACACAATAGACATCGCCCCTGTACTAACACTCGTTCGCATTCATATGGTTCAAGGTGATGGAAGGTTCGTCATTCGCCATCCTAATGTCACATTCACAATCGTTGTAGATTCACACACTCCCTCAGACACGTGCCAGCACACATGAATAGACACACAGTTCATCTAGAGGTACATTCGCCATAGCCTTGACATGCGTCCGCCATAGCTCGACATGCATTGACACACCTGGGCACACACTTCGATCAGAGATTAGACACACAGTTCGACCCGAGATACCTCGTCATAGCCGGACATGTGTGGACACCCCCGAGCAGCGAGCACACACTTTGATCGAGATAGATTCACTGACACACCTGGACACACACCATGACCAGAGCAGACTAGTTGAAGACAAGGCGAGAACACTTCAGAAAAAGTGTGAAGCTCATGCTTGAAACATCGTGAAGCTCATGCTTGAAACATTGTGAAGCTCATGGTTGACGAGCGGTGCAGCATCCTGCTCACGCATCCTGGCAAAATGCTTGACACGTTTATGCTGCTGCCAGTACAGCATCTTCCGAGCATCGTACAGTGCTTGTAAAGGAAGCCGAAATAGAAAAAAAGAAAAAACAGAATGTAAGTACCCACGAAGTGGTTTTGGGAGTGCAAAAAGAAAAGGGACCCGGAGAAAAGTGATTCTGGTCAACAATTCGTTGGCTCCTCGCACTTCCTCCTCTTATGTTTGGTAGGTAGTTCACACAGCTTTCCTGAAGGTAAAGGGTTCACTTACCAGGGTATTGACGAAACAGAGCGCCACTGTAGTTCAGAATGAAAGGCGCTACACTCACGCTCTGCAGATTACATGCCAGCAAATTAGACCAAAAGGCATGACGTTAAGGAGGGAAAGACACACCAACAACAGCAGTAACAACAACAATCACATATGCTCGTGCGCGAGCGCACACACACGCACACACACGTGGGCACTCGCTCAGCAACATCCATGTGGTCAGCCTTGCTCTCTCCATCCATGTGTGAATGTGTGCAAGGGCACCCTTGTTTGAGGGTTCTGGGAGGATCTGGTGCTGATATTAGTTGATTCTATAAAGCACACATTCACACACACCTTGTTGCTTTATAACTATTCAGGATGGAATAGCGGTTGTTGATGGGCGATCCTGGACAACACGCAATCTGGTGTTGCTAGCTCTTCGCTTTTGTGGATCGAGTGGCTAGGACCAGGCATGCACTTCTTTTATTGTTCTCGGATCGTATCACAGTCTTGGCTACACTTGGCTCTTGTGGCTAAAGGTGCTGGTTCGATTCCGTGCCTGCACGGATGGATCCAAGTCTTCCGAGGTCAAAACAAGTACTAGTCAAAAACCACTGAGGGTCTCTTGGGAACTGGTGAGGAAGAACTTCGTGACCAGGCTATGTAGCAGCGGAGGGTCATGTGCTAGATGAAAAACAGAGCGAAGTCTGCAACAATTGCCTGCATGTGCGTGGTGGGAAGCCCTGAATGGTGTTGTGTGTGGTGTGAGTGAGTAGGACACTACACCCCCCCAGGGGTGGGGTCAATATCATGGCCGGTATGGTTCCGCTTTTTTTGTAAACACTGTCATGGCTGTAGTGGTCAAGGGACTTAGCTCTTGACTAAGGGCGCCGGCTTGATTCCGTGTTCCGTGCGTGCACGCACAGGTGGATCCAAGGTCAGAAAGTACTGATCAAAAACCTCTGCAATGCATTCTGTTTTTCACAATTTTTAATTCCTCCCCTCTCCCCC